GGTGTATCGGGTTGACAGGTAGCGCGCCAGCTGGCGGCCTGTGGCACCACTTCGGCGGAGCTGGCCGTGCCACTTTTTTTTGCGGGGTGATGCGTGCGGGGACCACTTGAGTGCTGGACGCTGTGTCTTAAAGTATTCAAAATCATTCTGTTAATTGTGTCTAATGATATTTATTAATAAAATGGTTCGAGAAGGTCATACTGGCCAACCCGTATCCTGGTAGAGTGTGGCCGACCGGGATCTGCGGTGTCGTTGGAAAGTGCCCATCTGGCCCTCGGCGCGTACCAGCGAGGTGAACCCCGCTGGTCCCATGTTGTGAACCTGCTGATCCATGGTGTTGCGACGGGACGGCACAATCCACGATGCGTATCGGAGGGTGTAACGGGTCCAGCACTGGCGCGTTCCGGGGGGGGGGGGGGGGCACTATCGAGTATCGAGGTACCTTACCGATTAAATACCAGACAGACGCTGCCCCGGTTGGCTAGTGTGCAGGCTGACCTGTTGAGTGTCTCGGCGGGATGCGCCTGTCAACCCTCGTTGTGTCTGGGTGGGACGGACTGACCCGCGGTGTGCCCCGGTGGTGGGGTGTGCTCAGCCGATCCATGGTATACACCAGCTGGACAGGCCCTACCCTCGGCCGACCTATGGTGTCTCCGGCTGGGCGTGTCAGACGGATCTCTGATGTTGATCAGAGTGCACTAGTGAGATACTGGTCCGTGGCGATATATCTTGATTGTGTCATGGCGCATGTCGATTATATGTGTTCCCTGGTTTACAAGTGTATGTTTTTGTTTGGTCACGATTAGTTATACTGCATTACTCAGTGCATTAGTATTGATGTTTCAATCGAGTTTTTGGGGTCGCCGAGCCGCTGTCGTATCGTGCTAGCGCCGTTCCCATAAGCCCACTCGCGTGGTCGTCTGCCGCTGCCGCCACCGGGATCGTCTGCTTACCTAAGATGCTGCCCCTGGGACATTTACCTACTAAGCCACAGCCAGTCGGTGACTGGAAGCCTGGTCCGGTTCCGGCTGCCTATCAGGCCGGCCCGCTTCACTTCTCCGTTTTCTCTCGAGCTGCCACCCGGTCGCCACCGCCCGCCACCCCTCCACCACCCAGTCCACCCATCCTTCCACCCCAGGTGGGGGGAGGGGTTCCCAACACCCGCCTTCGCCAACAGTTCCCCATCCCCTACCTATCCTTAAGTTTAAGTTTTGACTTTCCGAGCCGCCACCGTCATTCATACATCCACACACATCTATACACGTCCATAAACCACACAACACACCGGCAATGGGCACTGCTCAACTTGTACAAAGATCTTCAACAGCTTTTACTCATAGCAGGTCTAGAACTAAATCCTGGCCCCGGCAGGCAAGCATGCTATCCCAAACTATCACTCGCACATGTTAATATCAATTCAATAACTGCCCCTAACAGGCTAGACGAATTGCAACAATTTGTAGACTATAACAACATTCATATCTTAGCACTTAGCGAAGTCAAAACTGATTCCTCGATTCACCCTAGTCTGTACACATTGGACAATTTCCACTCACCACTCATCAAACACAGAACACGTCACGGAGGAGGCACGGCAATTTACGCCAAGTCATCCTTACCTATAATACGTCTGCCTCAACTTGAAATAGGAGACGAGGAATGGATCTGGTGCAAGATCACTTGCGAAAAAAGTACACTCATTATTTGCTGCCTCTATCTACCACCAAATTTAGCGTCAGACCGGCTAGAACTTTTTTTGGACAGACTTACGGAAAGCGTAAGTATGGCTCAACTGTTAAATCCAACTGCTATTTTAATCACTGGGGATTTCAATGCGGGAAACATATACATTAACACCGGATTCCGGAACAGCGGTACAACTCCATTCGACAAAAAACTAAAAGACACAGCGCTTACTCTTGACTTGCACCAAATCATCGACAAACCTACAAGGCTTACGGACACGACGGCAAATTTACGCGACTTGATTTTCACCAACAACGAAAACATTGTTATCGACAGTGGAACATTGTCTCCTTTTTCCACATTAGATCATTTCCCTATATACGCCACATTTGACCTTAACACTAAAACCACTCCACCTCGCTTCGAAAAGATATGGAACTACAACAGGCTAGATGCTGATAAATTTACTACGCTTCTCATGAACACTGACTGGCAACAAATACTTGAAACAGACATCAACACTGCTACCTCAGACTTCACTTTGGCAATTCTATCTGCAGCTGAACAAGCGATACCAACGAAAATAATACGCATTCGACAAAATGACAAACCATGGTTCACCAGCGAGCTCAAAAGACAGATTAGGAAACGTGATAGACTTTTTCGGACTGCCAAACACAAGGGGACAGACAATCAGGCATGGGACAGATGGCGAGCTCAACGGAACCTGGTCACTGACCTCAATAGGCGACTCAAACAGAACCATCTCAACAATCAGATTCATAAGCTTTTAGAACAGAAACATGACCCATACAAATATCACCAGACTCTGCGAAACATAACAGGACGCAACCGACACGAAATCATACCACCTCTGATGACAACGGACGGGCGAACACTGACCAACGACGAAGACAAAGCGGCTTTATTTAACGACCATTTTGCAGCCCAATCACTTCTCACTATCCCACCTAACCATATGCCTCCTGTGTCATACAACAGAGGCCAGGTACCCACTCTCAATACCATTGTCACTACGCCAAACGAAGTACTCAAAATTATAAATTCCCTTGACCCCAACAAATCATGTGGCCCAGACCAACTTCCTGCCAAAATAATCAAGCTCTCAGCCATAATAATCGCCGAACCTCTTTCAATACTATTCAACAAATCATTTCGCTGTGGAATTTTCCCAGACATGTGGAAAGAGGCAAATATACACCCTATTTTCAAAAAGAAAGGCTCACAATCAGACCCAACAAACTACCGTCCGATCTCTATTCTTCCAACTTTATCCAAGGTGATGGAAAAAATCGTATTCAAAAACATATACAGTCATCTTTCGGAACATCAGCTATTGTCAGAAAAACAGAGTGGGTACAGGCCGAAACATAGCACACAGCTTCAACTTACCTATCTCTGCCACAATCTGTATAAGTCTCTCGATTCAGGAAACGACTTCACAGCTATATTTCTCGATATCTCAAAATATTTTGATAAAATTTGGCACCAAGGACTAATCTACAAATGCGAAAACGAATTTGGAATTACAGGATCGCTTTTGGCTTGGATCAAATCTTACCTCCAAAATCGTAAGCATCGCGTCAAAATATCCTCGTCATTTTCTAACTTTCGAACAATAAATGGTGGCTGCCCCCAAGGGTCAGTCCTCGGGCCGCTTCTTGCAATTCTTTATCTTAATGAACTATCAAAAATAACGGAGAACAACACCCAATTTTTTGCCGACGACACTTCTTTGCACGCATCTCATACATCCACTAGCATAGTTAACGTTCAAAAATCACTCCAGAATGACCTGAACAAAATACAGCAATACGGCCAGAAATGGATAATAGCATTTAATCCTGAAAAGACTATCCAAATCACACTCTCAAACTCTTCAAATCCGGCAACATCACCGCATCTTCTCTTTAGCGGAAAACCAATTCCAATATCCCTTTCCCACAAGCATCTCGGTATTACCCTTTCTCAAGATTTGCGTTTTCATCAACATGTAAATGATATCATTTTGAAAGTTAATAGATCCTTAAGCCCTATCTACCCTATATCAGCACTTTTACCAAGACATGTGCTCGATCTCATTTACCGCATATACATCCGACCCTACTTTGACTATTGCGACATTATTTATGACGGAAGTATCACACTGACTGACTCCTTACGACTGGAAAGACTTCAAAACAGGGTAGCTAGACTAGTGACAGGAACTCTACGTAGGACATCAACTGACAAACTGAGACAGGAATTAGGATGGACCACCCTCAAAACGAGACGGAACGTTCACAAACTCACAATGTACTATGCACTCAGACAACCACAATCACAACTTCCTACATACATCACTTCCATCATTCCTAACACTCGATCACAAGACACCGGCAGACTCCTAAGAAATTCCAACACCCAGACATTGCCCAAGAACAGGATAACGTTATTTCAAAACTCATTTGTGCCATCAGCCACCAAGCTATGGAACACACTTCCTAATTACATCCGCAGTGAAACATCCATTAAACGTTTCAAAAAGGCCCTTATTAAGCACTTGGGAACCCCTCCCCCTCCTCACTATTTCTCCTACGGTACCAAATTTGGGAACAGGGTTCACACTAGGCTTAGGGTCGGGATGTCTCAGCTCAACGCTCACCTTTTCCCCCTACAGCTTTCTGATTCCCCTCAATGTCAATGCGGGTCACCCAGTGAAACTGTTCGTCACTTTCTTTTAGACTGTCCTCTTTACCGAAATGTTCGTGATCGCCTATTTAGAGCCTTGAGTATCCATCTAGAAATTAACGTTCCTGTTCTCCGCTCCTCTGAGTTGCTGACTTTGTTATTAAATGGACCCAGTCCTGCGGGAGGTGGCGACCGAGTGGTGGCCCAGCTCTTTCAAAAATTCTTATCCGATACAGGACGGTTCAGGTAGTCTATCGGGTTAGCGGGCTGGCCCCTCGGGCCTGGCCGGAGCCGGAGTGGTCGGGCGGGTCGGCGGCGGTGGCGGCGGCGTGGCGGCGGTCGCTGCGGGTGCGGCGCGGGCGTGCGTGCAGTGGTGAGGTGATCCGACTCGGGCGATAGCACGTAAGAGCCGAAAGGTGCTGCGATTTAAGCAATATTGCTTTTGCACCAATTGGCAAGCATTGTTTTGTACGTGTTCTGATTAATGTAATAAATTTATTCTATCTATCTATCTATATGTATTATTTGCTAACATTTCTTTCAGTTAAGCTTGACTATCATTAAATACTGATTACGGGGAGGTACTTAATTACGGGGATTAATGGTAAGAATGATAGCCAATGTTTCTTCATTCTGCTAAGGGAAGTTTATTCACATCCATCGAAAAACTGCAGAGTACCGAGAAAGCAGCAGAAAATGATCATTCAGCAAGGTTCAGCGGGTTCATCCATTCAATCTTCAGTGCACGTGTGACACTTTCAGCATATCTCTCGAGTCTCTATCAGAGACATGTCTGGAGTTTTCGCCGCGGTATCCGTTGACAATAAACTGCAACCAGTACAGCGTGGGGAGCAGGCCCATTAAGGCTGTACCCTTTACTTGTTCTTGCCATTGTAATCACCCGCATAACCATGAGCCGCATAGCCAGCGCGGGTCTGAGCGGCATTAGTCACAACAGCTGAGGGTGCAATGCTGCTGCGAAGCACGAAAGTGAAGGGCTGGACCACAGTTTGGGTGTTGTCCCCGACCACACGCGACGAAGCAATCGGCGCAGCGTAGGGCGCTGCGTAGGGCGCAGCGTAGGGCACCGCGTAGGGCGCAGCGTAGGGCGCTGCGTAGGGCGCTGCGTAAGGCGGCACGTAAGGCGCAGCGTAAGGCGCCGAGTGAGGCGCAGTCACCACCGCTCTGCTGTGGGGTAGGACGTACGGCAGAGGGACGGTAGCATAAGAAGAAACTGGTATAGCGTAGGGAGAAACTTTAATGGCGTAGGTAGAGGCTGGGGTAACATCTCCATCGGCTGGGGAAGCGTAGCCAGCTTTGGTGACTGGAGAAGCATATTCAGTAGCTGAGTAGCTGATAGGCTGTTGGATCCTGGCGTAAGATTTTTCAGCCTGGACAACAGCCACAAGGGCGCTGAGAAGAGCCTGAAAAACGAGAGAACAGCACGCATCAGTGAATGAAGATGGCGACAGTGCTGCCTTGCATGCCGGTCTGTTTGCTTATAAATCATGTTTTTATAGTTCTAGTGAACAGCTACATACGCTGTAATACAAAAGCATGGCAAATCTTAAAGAAATGTTCAATAAATTGTGCTGAAAGCTTAGGTACAGATGGAATGTAAAAACTTTCGAGATTAAATTATGGCTGAGGACGCATAGTCACATGTTATTCTGTTCTCCCACGCATTTCAGTATTATAAAAATAACAAATTAAGTACGACGTCTTTACGCCGACAAGCGAGTGAGCGCAATAGTGACCAAACCATTTACACTAAAAGTGGTAAAATATCTAACTAAAGGGATGCTGACGGTTGATCCTGCACATCGCTTGTCAATCCGTTGAGCGTTGACCGAGATATATGTCTAAAAAGCGCTACATATTAGGTGAGACTAATTAGGGCTGGGTAGGGTCGGGTCAGCCAGGATGACTTCAGCCGCTCATACCGATAAGCCGCCGCATGAGACAGTGAAATAATGAACCCAGTAAATGGTTCAGCTTCCTACTTCGGACACTGAGTGTACTCACCAGAGAACGCATTGCTGCAGTGGCACGGGAGTGAATGCCTATCGTCAGGATGGAGCGATCTGGTTTTATACTATTCGACAAACGGTTTGGCCCTGGATATCAACTTAGCCACTCATCAACAATAATCGATATATAGCGAGAGAGCAACCATTAGGCAGATGCCAAACTACCAAGGAGTCCTTGGTATAATGCAACAAGCACAGTTGCCATGGAGGAGGTGGCTTTTAGAGCAGCAAACAAGCATCATCCGTCATCCTATGACCATGAAAACCCTGGGGAGGCCCAACGTGCCACGCCCGTGTTGTTGTTTGGCATTTTCATGGTCACTCTGTGCAAAATTACAGGCATTTGATCTGCATATCAAGTAGGTATGCCTCTTATTACATTTTCAATAAAATGTTCAATAAAATGTAAGAAGAAATAGAAGAATTGTGTGTTCTGGTTGGTTCGAATTTCTTTTCTTACGCTGGGTTACGTGTCTATTTTCTGTTAAACAAAACATTTCAGCCGTGAGAATTGTTCAAACTATACGTGGTCATTACCTATGAGAAATAGAGACATTGACTCGAGTCGACCACCAACTAGTGCGCCACAACGGCAGAACCCATTTCGCTTGGAAGGGAGTTCATCAATGGGACAGGATACCGAGGAGGAATTCGAACTGTCACTTTGTGTTTTTGTTTTGTAAGGCTAGGCCCTTTCGTGCTCGGTTTCACATTAGTTGGGTTAGGACCTTCTCGGTAATCATGAAGTTTTCAGTGAGACGGTGTGTGGGGGGGAGGGGTATGAAGAGAAGATGCATAGGATAGGGGGAGACATTGGTCCGGCGGGAGACACCATGGTGAGTCATCTAGTCTGAGCCAATCCAATGGAACAGTCCATCCAGCTCACCGATACTCACTGCGCTACCCACGATCATTGTCTGAACCACAGTATTCGATAACGACCGTCAGGTGGCAGCAGTAGCGAACTGCAACCACAACCCTATCTCGTCTCTAGAGGCTCCCAATGCCCACACCAAACAAGCCAAACAGCCTACGGCAATCATTTTATAACCCCTATTTTCCGTGAATGTCAATTTTGTGCATTGTGAATGTAATCATTATGTAACGTCTGGTGTGCTCAGTTTCGCATTATTTGAGGGGCTCGCTCAACATATGATCTCTGAGCGATTTTCTAATGTCACACTTTCAGCAAGCAGCTAAGCACCCAATAAAATTTACTCATTGATCTTGTTACTACTCATTGACTAAAAATTCGCCGGTTCTGAAATCAGGCCCAGACTGTCCCCACCCATACCGGAGAAGCAGAGAGATCAGCTCAAACCATTGTCAGCATAACTGCACAGCTTGGCGACGTGCCAGAAGTGACCCGACCTTGAGGACCAGCTTTATCCCTAGTCCCGACAGGATGCGGGCTGATCATGTCCGTTTTATCCCGCCGACTGCTGAAGCGTCTGTTGAGTGAGCATCTTCATTGTGGGCGCTTACGACAGGAGAGAAGATAAAGAGATGAAATGCTTGTTCTGATGATTATAAACAATGGTACATATGAATTAACATACCTATATGATAAATAAACACAAAGCATGTAACAGGTATCGAGGTGTCGCTTGACAGTACAATAAACGAGCATGGGATCAAACGAAAATGTAGACGGATTTCAATGCCAAAATGAATCAAGTGTCATCAGGACAGACAACTATCTTGCATAATCTTATTATAAGTCATTAGCTAGCCACAACAGACGACACCTTGTACCAAGCTAAGCTGTTTCTAAAAACATACAGATGCCAGCTTATCATGTAACTTTCAGCTGGGGTCAGTTAGCTGATCATCCTCCCAACAAAACAACAGACGGCCTTTTCTCCATGTCTGTTTAGAGGAACAGGAGGACAGCCTGTGCGCCTGGATTAGCGAGGCGTACCTAGAACAAACCTTACAACCTACCCCGGGCCCGGAGTCTCTAACTGAGCCTGATGAATGGGCTGCTTTGTCGGACGCTGCTGATGCTCTGGAACGAGTAGGGGAGAGTGGGGTAAGATGCCCAGGGTGGGAAAGACGCCCCACCCCCTCTAGCGGCGAAACAAAAAATAAAACCTGGAAATTTATGTTCTTATCGTAAAGCGGAAGCCTGCCTAGTTAACTGCACAAGAATTTGCGAAGCTCAGTTGGGCAACGGCTGGCTGGTGATTGCATGTTTTTTATTTGCTGCTTTCAAAAAATATTTTGGTGTCAAAACATTGTAAATATCAAAGAAGGTAGATAATTTTTGCGTCCCTTGCTATAGTCGTGATACATTAACATGCGTGTACTGTGTCATAAATAGTCTGTTTCAGGGTGCAGTTTTATGGCTAACAAATTGTACTGCTTTAATGTTACTTCGGTACCTTGGGGTAAGATGCCCCCTGTCCTGATGGGGAAAGACGCCCCCTGAATCCGTAGGCTGTCCTTCAAGCAGCCCGTCAAATCATTTATTACATACTTGTGATGAGAGACAAAAGCCGATCTGGGACTATTGAAAGTCCAGTACGGTCGGGTGCTCCCCATGCCGGTCTCTCGGCCCACACAGCGACTTTTTGGGCGGCATCTGACTCTGAGAGCCCTCACGACGGCCTCTGTGGGCCCCATTATTGGCTCCAGGGCCCCTCACGACATCCTTTGAGGGCTCTCACATTGGCTCCACGGGCCTCGCTGGCATCTGAAGTCCCCACGATGGGCTCGAGGGCCCTCAAGCATCATGAAGACCTATAAGGGCCCCACAGTGGTCTCCGAACGCCACCACGGAGTCTTGTTTGGCCGCGCCGGACTATGATGGCCCTAACGATGACCTCTGAAGCCCCTTACGACTACTTTTGAGGGCCCTTACGATGACGTTTGGTGTCTACTGCAGGCTCGAAGGGACTACTGATTCGTTCAGGCGATTCACGTGCTCATTTATGTCACTTATAGTTCAGGGGGGCATCTTCCCCAACGCCAGGGGGCGTCTTTCCCACCCTGTGGGGTAAGATGCCCCCTTTCACTTCTTCAGGAAAATGCTTAATAGCAAAAAAAAGTTATCATATTTCAGGCACGAAAGTGTGATATTTTTGGAGAAAAATGTTGTCGGCTTCCATTGAAACTCCAAGTTTTTGCTTTCCGATCGTCATTTTCGAATAATATATGACATAGCAAAACCCTGGGCATCTTTCCCCACTCTCCCCTATGTTGTGCAACAAGGAGGGCGGTAGTTTCAAAGTCTGTAAAAGTTTATAGTGGGCTCTGATTCTACTAGAGTGCCTACTGCCTAACATCTGTATTCGTCTCATATTCACCATCACGTCAACTGAACAGATGCAATGTAGGCCAAAGGCATTTCCAAAAAAATAACTATGCGTCGTTTGTGTAAATAAACGTCATGCTGGTAAAGGTAAAAACCCGTCTTGGCTTTGTTTTAGACATTTATCGTAACTGCCCTGAATTGAACTGAAAGCTAGATTGTTGAGTATCAAATTTAGGGTGAGCAGGGAGAAATGATCTAACCAACAAACCACCAATTGACCCTTTTCTAACTAATACTCGCTAGCGTGCTACAAAAACTGTTCATCCACTCTCCTGATCATTCTACTCACAATCACCGTCATCTCTCTTCCTCTTCCTCTCTCCTCTCTCTTCCTCTCTCGGTGACACAATCTTCATCTGATACGCTGCGTATCAACCGCCCTCTATTTGTCTGTGTCCCCCGCTACCACGAGCCACCCTCCCCCGGGTTCTGCACAGAGCACCCATAACAGCAGAGTGTTGACCTTGGGTCGGAACATGCCCAGCGTCCACTCTACTGAGGGATGTGACACAGCCACAGGTAAGATGAACAGAAAGCTTGCTGCACCCTGGCACGGAGATATCTGCAGTGTTAGATGTGCACATAAACTAGCGCCAATGACGTTATTGGGAGAATATGATGTCACTGGACAAAATCACATCACTGAACTTTGAATGCCCAGAGGTGAAGATTGAGCTTGTTTCTGTTATGATGATTTGATGACGTCTAAGTTACCTACTGAACACAGATTGCCACGTTTACGGATTCCTTTTTATTGATGTTTTCTGTTAATAAGTAAATAAATAAATAAATAAAGAAATGATCATTTACGTTCCTGCAGCCTTAGCTCTTCAGTAGTGTTGTTCACTGTTCCATTACCAAATCAGCCCAGGAGTCACTGCTCTCTCAGTATGTAGTAAACAAGCCTTAAACCCCGACCGATTATCGTATAAGTAACCGGTTGTTCATGCAGTGAACTCTTCATAACCGATTAGAGGTCAAATATCACGCAATCGTCAGCTTTATTATCGAATAGCGTGACCGCTAATCATCCCGGTAACACTCGCTGGATAGGGGGAGGATTGGGGTGTGTCGTCATCGTGCTGTGCTTCCTAGTTCCTGAACAGTTTGTTAAAGAGGATGGTGGTCAGTGATCATCCAATTAGCATGTAATATTGGTCGATTGTCCACCAGAAACATAGCTTTGAAATGCGAAACTCACCGGCTTTTTGACGATTTATTTGACTAGTGACGCTGTTTCAAGCCTTTTCATATTATAAAAGAGAATAGCTGTTTTCACGACGGTTATCTAGCGAATGCACCAGACTTGACCAAATCTGCACCAAATTTCTGTTACAACAATTATTGTCATATTGTGAATTCATTTCAGTGTTTTATTAGAACATAATGCAGAGTCAAAATCAGATCTATAAGCAACTGCGCAACCCAAACTGATAACTTCAAAGAAATTCAAAGAAACCTAATTTGACCAAATCTGCACCATACCCGCACCTAATATACGCCTAATGTGTACCAGATAGCCGTCCTGAAAACGGCTAATAAACACTATATTTAACTCGAGGGAAGCTAATGAAGTACAGCATCGCTTACCAAACAGTATACTAAACAAATCCTATGAATATCCTCGCACTCACACCTCCAAGGACCAAGACACCTACCATCAAGGTCATGCATCCAAGTGTATCAAATCCGTACCGACAGAAGCTGAGGCTCATATTTACCGAGCGTGAAACGTGACATCAATAAACAGTTTCTTCAGTGGGAGGACAGCTCTAGGATGATATATGGCGCGG